AGCCTTAAACACTGTGATGGCAGGGGCCGATATGTTGGAATTGATATTGATGCTCTGAAGACGCTTGTTCAGTCTAACACACTCGTGAAATGGCCCTGCAATTGAATGTCTCTCATGAAACAATACGTAAACATCTAAGGAATTTGGAAAACCTCCTTAAAGAAGGTGTTTGGATGCCTCACGAACTCTCCGATAATCATCGTTTCCAATGTGTGAATGTTTCTTTCGTATCTTCTGGCACGTAATGTGCGTGAACCATTTTTGGAAAGAATTGTCACCGGTGATGAAAAATGGTTTCTCCGTGTGATAATTAAATGAAAAAAAATGGCTCGGTCCTAGACAAAAACCACTTCTGACCCCAAAATCTGGTCTACATCCGCAGAAAATGATGCTTTGCATTTGGTGGAACATCAAAGGAGTAATTCATTTCAAACTCCTCAATCCACAGCGAACTGTCAATGCAGAAATCTATAGTCAGCAATTGGGACGTTTATATCAAGCTCTTCATCAGAAATACCCTTCACCCGTCTATCGAAAAGGTGTTCTTCTTCTCCATGACAATGTACTTCCACATGTGGCACGACTGACACAACGCAAGATTATGATTTGGGTTGGGAAGTTCTCCCCCTACCCACCATATTCTCCATATATGGCACCATCAGATAACATATTTTTTGTTTGCTGCAACACCATCGTAATGGGAAAATGTATGCAAATGTGGAAGGTGTTAAAGAAAATATCGACATGTTTTTCCTTTAAAGCCAAGTGATTTCTTTAATCAGGGCATTAACAACCTGATTGTAAGATGGAAAAACATCATTGATAACAGTGGAGACTATTTCCTTTAATAAATGTTTTATTTTGATATTTAAGTTGTTTGGGTTTTTTTCATCTAAAAAAAAAGCGGCATTAATTTCTTGTATACTTAGTATTTCTATGAATTCTTAACCTTGAAAATGCTATTGTGCAATGCGTTTCCTCAGTACGCCTAGTCACATCATCTGTTTCTCTATCAATTATATGTATTCATCTTATAAAACAGAAATCACACCTTACTCTAAAATTTTAGAAAAAATTTAGGCCAATATTTAGGCCAAACTCCTTAAATACAAAATCTGTATCCAGCAATATTATCATCAAACTGAACATTACATGCCTTTATGAACTGCAAGAAAAAGTTACACAAATTATGGATAATTCTGAAAACCTTAAACCCAAGTTTATCGCAGTTTGTGCACTCAAGGGTAAAACTGAAATGCAAAAAAGGGCCAATTTATATTAAAAAGTGTGATTCAATAGTGGCAATCTATTCCCTGAATATAATTATACAATATTTGTGCAACTTATTCCTGAGGGAAGTATCAACCTTGTACAGGACTCGTGTTGATTTCTATGGTTTTATGTTGCCCAAAATCTGAGAATATTCTTTTTTAACAACTCTAAAGTCAACTTATCCTTATTAGGTAAGGTTTATTATTTAGTGATTTTTCCATTTTTTACCAAGCTGGTGGATAAAAGTTAAAAAAATGTGAAATTCTAGTCAGTTGTTTATTATTGGGAATATGAACAAATTTAGGTCTAGTATAATTTTATATACATATACAGATATTTAAAAATCTTCAAGGAGAACTATTTATTTTCATGTGTAGCTCATTATTTACATTTATGTTATATTAATATGCACTCGATCAATGTGTAGGTAAATTCAATTTGAAAAGATGATTCGAACTTTTTAAAAATATTTCATTTGTGTGTGGCAGTTAAAGAATCCTTTTTATTATTTTGTTTTGATTGAAAAAAAAAAATATATATATATATATCATATAATAAACAGCACATTTCAACTTGAAAATATCTTGTCATTTTTGTTCCCTCAAACTTCAATTTTAACTGATTTTTGTAATGACTAGTACACATACTTAAATACATTTACATGCACTACAATGTACATATATCGTGCAAGCAAGTCAACATTGCTTAAAACCTGTAAGATACATTAATACATATACTGTGCTTTAGAAATTACAAATTCCATTAGGAATTAATTAAAAGACACTTTCTAACATAAACATTTATATGAAAAATCTGATAAGTGAGAAGATAATCTGGGACCAGTCACAGATTCTCATTTTTTTAACTTACTGGATTTTTCACATAAAAATTATTTTAAATATTAAGTTAAAACTAATTCGATGACGAGGAACCCACTTTGAGACTAATAATGGCTGGAGACGGCTTGAATGGGTAATGAAGAAAAACTTTACTATAAGTTTAACATAACAGCAAATGTACAACATTTCGACAAGGTTTTGTCATCATCAGGTACAAGTAATTTACACTGACACGGATATATATATATACAGTATTGAACAAAGAAGTCACATGACCGGAACTGTTGTGAAACTTAGAAGAGGTA